GAACAGGAAGGACTGCCAAGAAACTTCATATTGTTGCAGAGACGAAGCACGCAGGTGGGAGACCAACAACGAAGCCACCTGCGCACCATACAAGTGATGATAAACTCGAGTCAAAATCTCCAGATGAGAAGACTCGAGAAGACCGAACCAACCTCATACCGGGCTGGACCATTCTGCTGAAAGAGGCGGAGCCACGGGAAGACCCTCGGGTTCAGACACCGAGCAAGCAGCGCCTGAAACCAAGGCTGGGCCGGCCACCATGAGGCCAAGAGGACAACTCACCCCTGGTAAGTCTCCAAGCGAGCTAGGATCTTCAGCAATTGCTGAACCAGAGGAAAAAGGTACAAGAACCCCCACCTCGACCAGTCCTGCCAAAAGGCGTCGATCCCAACAGCCTCGCGGTCAGGGAAGAGTGCTACATATACTGGAAGATGCATCAATCACGCCGACACGAAGAGGTCCACCTCCAGGCACTCGAATGCCTGGCAGATCCAACTGAATGAGTCGGCGTCAACCGTCCATTCTGTGGACAGGGGAACAAACACGGATAGGCCATCTGCCAGGATGTTGGATACCCCCCGGACGTGAACCACCAGGAGAGCCAAACCCTGAAGACTCAGCAGATGAGTAAATCCGAAGCGACCAGCCTCAAAGAGTCAAGGACCGCATTGAACCCCCTCGGTTCAGGCAATGAACCACCAGGGAGCAGTCTGAACGGAGTCAGATCGTCAATCCACGAGCAACTCGAACCCTCCGAAACGACATCCACACCACCGGGAACTCCCTGACCGTGCTGTGAGCCCGACAGAAGGACGGACCCCACTACCGCTGGCCGCCCTGGTGAGCACTGGTCACAAAGCTTCAGTCAAGAGACGATGCGTCCCTGTACACATTGAGCGAGGGCTCAGGTAGGCATCAAGGCATTGAACCCCGAAAAACCCGAAGAGGAAACTGGCAACACAGCAACCGATGCAACACAGCAGAGCCGGCAGCTGTTATGGGAAAAAACCAGCTGTGCAGTACCTTGTGCCCCTGCCAGTGACGAAAACTACCCCCTACCCAGAGACAAACAAGGGCATGAAAAAAAAACAGCCGATTCCAAGGGCGGCCAAGTACCGAGCAGTAAACGGCACAGCGCAGGTAGATCCCGAGGTGACTTGTGGAAGGAGGCCCCAAGGGCAGTACTTACTGTGCACCTAGGGAAGGGAACCCTAGGCGCATGCAGCCTGAGTACTGTGGAATACTTCTCCTGGCTCACGCACCACCTGAAAGAGACAGCCCACACCACAAGACACAGAGTGAAAACAAAAGCTGGAGTCAGAGGCACGACCACACCAGACTCCCATCAGCCAAGAACTGAAGGTTGGGTTGCTGGTGCAAGGGTCTGGGGCTCCCCCTTTTCCCTCCTGGGGAGGGAGGGGGGAGGGAGGGGGGAGGGAGGGAGATTGCGCAGACAGCGGCGCAGCAACATGATGACGTCCTGCTCGTTTGCTAAGTTTCATTTGGAAAGTTCTGTCCGCTCGTTCAACTTTCAGTAGCAATAGTTTCACCAGAATAGAGGTTTGTTTTGGGGCGCCTACCTTTCTGGGTGCCTGTCCCTGTTGACGGCAGACATAGAATGCTCTCAACCACAGGGAGGGGGGGTTTTCTATAGGCCAATGCTCCTCGTGCCTCTCTTGAGGGGGCCAGGTTCTGGCTCGTGGTCCCCGGTGGGCAAGAACTCCATGCACTTGGCTGATGCCAAAAAGCTAACCATATCCATTCAGCCTGGATAGCTCCAGGGAGCCGATGGGGCTCCCCCCCCTGAAAAATAAATAAATAAATAAATAAAAGAAAAGAAAAGCAAGAAGCTGACTTGCAAGCAGAATGAGGACTGCACCGGCCAGACAAAGGAGGCACCAGCACAAATTTTGCACCAAAGGCCCACCTCGACAACAGAAGCTGCAGACCCCAGCACGACCACAAAACCCGTGCCAAGACAAGAGAAATGCAGTCTGCAAGCCAGGAAGACCCCTGGAACCCCTGAACAAAAAGTGAAGGGCACACAGGAGGTAACCAAAGGCCTCCAGAACCCCCAACGGGGACCCAAGAGGAAGAAAATCTCAAAAAAATCGAAACCGAAGAGCCAAAAGGAACCCGGCAATGAACCAGAGGGGAGGGGGGCCAGACCACCACATCTGCTGGCAGAAAATGCATCACAGAAAAGAGGGCAAAACACATCACCCAGACTGAATTCCCGGTTAAACAGCCAGAAACGGACCAAAAACCGAGGGACAAAAGGGGTGGGAGCAAGCAGAGCAAACGGCCAGGGGGACACCGGGCCAAAAACCCAGGGTCCAGACCAAAACACAAAACTGGGTGAAAAACCTACACCCAAGCGTTCCCAGAGGAACACAATAAGGGCAGACTGCCCTAAAAGAAAGAACAAAACAGAGAAACGGCAACGGGAGAAAAAACTCCCGAAGGAGGGGGGGGGGGGAACCAGCGTTGAATGTAATGAAACGCCATTGTCTGGGTGAGACCCCTGAGGCTTCCCGGAGCTTACTAAGCTGATATGCTAATGTCAGACTTTGGCATCAGTCATGTGTATAGAGTTCTATGAGCCTACCGGGGACCCCGAGCCAGAACCTGGCCACCTCAGAAGAGGCAAGGGGAGCAATGGCCTATAGAAACACTTGATGTGGTTGGGAGCATTCTATGTCTGCCATCGACCGGGTCAAGCACCCAGAAAGGTAAGCATCCCAAAACAAATTCCTATTCTGGTGAAAATATTGCTACCAAAAGTCGAACAAGTGGATAGAACTCCCCTAAACGAAACGAGCAAACGATCATGATGTCACACATCACCATGCCGCTGTCTGCGCAGCTCCATCCCCTTCCCCGGGAAGTGGGAGATCCAGACCCCACACGCCGGCTATCCACCCTTTAGTTTTTAGGGTGGATGTCAAAACATGCAAAAAACCGTCGACCGGAGAGAGGGAGGGATGCCGGAGAGCCTCCGGGTCTCACCCAGAAAATGTCATTTCATTACATTCAACGCTGGTTTTCTTGGGGGAGCCCCTTCGGCTCCCCGGAGCTAACTACCCACAGAGGAAAAACTTAGGGACTTACCCGGGAGGCGGTCGCTGCTCACTCCTCAACTCGAAGTCGAGACAACTGGCTGCAACTGCTGACCCTAAATGACACAGGCCCGACTAGGCCCAGGGACGTTCACAAGGTAAGGAGCAGCCAGGATCCTGTTCGACTGCCAAAAGCCCCGTGCCTGAATGTCAGCCAACATGTTGCCAAAGACTGCAACAAGAGGAGCGAACTTACGAACGTCATGGACACGGGGATAGACCGCAGACTGGCTAGCCTTAATAACTCTGCGGACGACCTAGGAGACCCGTACCTGCGAACAGGGAAGAAGGGAAACCGGATCAACCCAAAGCGTGTCCCCGGACACAGAAGCCATGGCACACAAATAACGGCAAAGAGCCGCAACTGGACACAAAACATAATGCACCCCGGGCCTAACCAATCAAGCATCTACAACCCAGGGGACCCCTTCGGAAAGCAGCAGTCTCATTCTTTGCCAGAAAAGAAGGAGACGGCTGCAAACAAACATAACCATCACGAAGACCAAAAGAGCAGAAACCCCTGCGCCAAAGAAGAGCATTAAGCTCACCAACCCGACCCCCAGAGGCCAATGCCAACAGAAAAAAGAGCCTTGGAGAAACAATCCTGAACCGAAGGGGCCAGCCGCTAATCGGTGAAAACAAACTATGCAGCACCCCATGCAACGAACCAGTGCAAACTACCTCTTACTCCTAAGGTAAACAAGGGAGACAAAACACCCAAGCACCCAAAGGGCGGCCGAAAAACCGAGCAGTAAAACGGCCAGCAGAGTCAGGACCCAAGGAACTTGTGGAAGGTAACCCCAAGTCCCAAGGGCAGTACTTACAAGGCACCTAGAGAAGGGAACCCTAGGCGAATACAGCCCGAGTACTGGAGAATAACTCCTGGCTCTCACACCCCTAGAAGGTAGCCACCACACTCAAAGCACAGTGCTGAAACTATGCCTGGAGCCAGAGCACATGACCAGAGCCTCTAGCATCAGCCTAAGAATTAATGGGTGGATAGCCGGCATGTGGGGTCTGGGGCTCCCCCTTCCCCCTCCCGGGTAGGGGGGAGCTGTGCAGACAGCGACACGATGACGTGTGACGTCATGATCGCTTGCTCGTTTCGCTTAGGGGAGTTCTATCCACTTATTCGGTTTTTGGTAGCAATATTTTCACCAGAATAGGGGTTTGTTTTGGGATGCTTACCTTTCTGGGTGCCTGACCCAGTTGATGGCAGACATAGAATGCTTCCACCAACACGGTGGTAGGTTCTGGCTCATGATCCCCGGTTGGCCCATAGAACTCCAACAAGAGGAATAAGAGGAAAATACACATAACTAATGCCAAAGTCTGACATTAGCATATTAGCCTAGTAAGCTCTGGGGAGCCGAAGGGGCTCCCCGCAGAAAACTATCTGTAATGCACAGGCACCGACCCCACTATTGATGGGCCAAACAAAAAAAGCAGCAAGCTTGTCAGAATTTGATAAGGATTAAAGTGTGAAAACCGAGATAGTAGTAAAACCACCTTTGAAATTTAAAGTTTTTTCACATTACTGTACATACAATTGCATATGCTGTAGAACATTGGCAATTGTACAGTACAATTACAACCGTACAGTAAAAACATTTTTTAGAGTTACTGTACTTATCAGTGGTGTTCATTAGAGGAGTTTCTGTGAATGTTTTAGATAACTAATCCTTACATGTTGAATAATGCAAACTGAGATATAACAGAATGTGATAGTTTTTTCCAAATCTAGTGCCTAAATTATACTTCATCTTCTTTTCTATAAACATTACTTTCATACATTTGATAAAGTGATACTACATCCATATACAGGTATTAGACTAAAACTAATGAAATAGAACTAAATCAATCAAATTCCACTATTCTTACCCATATTTCAGGATCCCAAACTGCGTACCCCAGTCTCCCAGGTAGTTAATGCGAGTCACATCATGACCAAGAGCAGCGTGCAAGTTAGCAATGAAGTTTCCAATGATGGTAGAGCGAAGGTGACCAATGTGAAATGGTTTGGCAATGTTGGGCGAGCTACAGGAAGAAATGAAAGCATGTCAAACTTTAAGCAAATTAATAATTAAGGGCATCTTACCTTGTACTACAAATATATGTGACAGCCAAAGAAAGTCATCATCAGAAAATACATTTCAAGACATGAATGTTGAAGCAAAATTAGCTCAACATACTTAATGTAGTAATGCCATGTGTAACTAAATAAATGTACATCCTTTTACACTGCTATGTCAAGAATAAATATCTCAGTCAGAAACAAATTACCCCAGTTAAGTCTCCATAACTTCAGAACCTTGAATTACTTAGCAATGCAAATCTTCAAAATGTAAATCTCAGTTACAAACTTTTAAACCTGTTCTCCACTTAACCCTTAAACTGCGCATGACGTATATATACGCCATGAGTAACATGTCCCACAGTGCGCATGGCGTATATATACGCCATAGGGTGCCAGGCATGATTCAAATGGCCCGCGGATACACGGGGTTCACAACAGCTTCCTCAGGGCTCTTGTAAACAGACGCCATGTTTAAAAAAAAAATTGTGGGCAATATTCTCCGGTGTGAGAGCAACCAAGGCTGGCGCACACAGCATGAGCTAACAGCATCGCTTAAAAATGTCAAAATAAGTATGTAACTGCTATTATTTAGCGATGACAATATTACAGATGACTCCTGACTGTGATAAAAATGACCAGGATTGTGATAATAGCAGGATTGCTGTGATAATTAGCTGTGTGGGAGTAGTAATGCTGTGGGAGGGAGGGAGATATGTCATTTACTGACTGTGTGGCCACCTGTTATTGTCTGCATTCACCATACCAGCTCAGTGGTTCTCCATGGTGAACACAAATGTAGATGCTTATATATAATGTGTGTATTAGTGTAATAACAGCAAAATGATTATATTGGGAGGAGCCATTTGGGTGGCGGAGGTGGTGTTGCTTGCCTGACTTGTCTAGTTGTGTAGAGGGTGGCCACTGTGCAGGTGTACAGTGTGCAGGTGTACAGTGTGTAGGTGTAGTTACGGTGCATACAACATGTAGATACTTATATATAATGTGTGTGTATATAGTGTAATAACACCCCAAACAGTATTGTTGGGGGGAGAAATTTAGTGTGCCTGACCTTGAATGAGTGAGGGAGGCAGCTGCCAGCAAGTGTAGCGAAGTCTCTTAGTTCCTGAACTAACTATATCAGCTTAGTTGTACAGTTGTGGTGAACAAAACGTGAAGATACTTTTATATAATGTGTGTATATAGTGTAATAACACCCCTAACAGTATTGTTGGGGAAGAAATTTAGTGCGCCTGACCTTGAATGAGTGAGGGAGGCAGCCGCCAGCTGACTATGAGTGTAGTGATGTCTCTTAGTTCCTGAACTAACTATATCAGCTTAGTTGTGCAGTTGTGGTGAACAAAACATGTAGATACTTATATTTAATGTGTGTGTATATAGTGTAATAACTGCAAAACTATTTGTTTATTGTTTTATGAATGTAATAATTGAACCATTAATATGAACACCATACTTTTGAGTATAGCGATGATTCACACATTTTATTATATAAATCTATCACACTACACACTATTGAATAATATTACTATAAAAAACCAGCGTTGAATGTAATGAAACGCCATTTTCTGGGTGAGTCCCGGAGGCTCCCCGGAGCTATCCCAGGCTGATATGCTAATGTCAGACTTTGGCATCAGTCATGTGTATGGAGTTCTTAGGCCTACCGGGGACCACGGCCAGAACCGGGCCCCCTCAGAGAGGCAAGGGGAGCAATGGCCTATAGAAGCCCCCGTGTAGTTGGAAGCATTCTATGTCTGCCATCGACCGGAACAGGCACCCAGAAAGGTAAGCGCCCCAAAACAAACCCCTATTCTGGTTAAAATTGCTACCTAATACCGAACTAGTGGATAGAACTCCCCAACCGAAAACAAGCAAATTAGTGTGACGTCACACACTGCCGCGCCGCTGTCTGCGCAGCTCCCCCTCCCCGGGAGGGGGAAGGGGGAGCCCCAGACCCCCCGCGCCGGCTACCCACACCTCAGTTCTTGAGGCTGGATGTCAAAAACGCGAAAAACCGCCGACCGGAGGGAGGGAGGGATGCCGGGGAGCCTCCGGGACTCACCCAGAAAATGGCGTTTCATTACATTCAACGCTGGTTTTCTGGGGGGAGCCCCGTCGGCTCCCCGGAGCTAACTACCCACAGACAGAAAAAGAGGGACTTACCCGGGAGGCGGTCGTCGCTCACCCCTCAACACGAAGCCGAGACAACTGGCTGCAACCGCCGACCCAAAGCAACACAGGCCCGACGAGGGCCAGGGACATTCACAAGGTAACGAGCAGCCAGGACCCTGTTCGACCGCCAAAATCCCCGCGCCCGAATATCAGACCAAGACATATTCCCAAAGACGGCAGCAAGAGCCGCGAACTTACGAACGTCATGGGCACGGGGATAGACCGCAGGCTGGCTAGACCTAATAACCCTGCGGACGACCTGAGAGACCCGAACCCGCGAACAGGGAAGAAGGGAAACCGGATCAACCCACAGCGCGTCCCCAGACACAGAAGCTGTGGCGCGCAAATAACGGCGAAGCGCCGCAACCGGACACAAAACATGATGCACCCCCGGCCTGACCAACCAAGCATCAACCACCCATGGACCCCTCCGGAACGCAGCAGTCTCATTCGTCGCCAGAAAAGAAGGAGACGGCTGCAAACGAACAAAACTATCACCACGACCAAAAGAGCAGAAACCCCTGCGCCGGAGGAGAGCATGAAGCTCCCCTACCCGACCCCCAGAGGCCAAAGCCAACAAGAAAAGTGCCTTGGAAAAACAATCCTGGACCGAAGGGGCCACAACGAAACGAGGAGATGAAAGGAAAGAGAGCACTCTGTCCAAAGACCAGGACGGCTCAGGCGACGCATGAGCAGGCCAGAGGTGAAACAATGCACGAGACAGCTTGCGAAACGGCGCAGACGTAACATCGATACCGAAAGCAAGCTGAAGCGGCTCCGCCAGCGCCGCACGATACGAAGCGACAGTGTTAGGCATAAGATGACGGTCCTGAAACAACCACGAGAGGAAGGACAAGACCACCCGAACAGACAAGGAGCTAACACGACGAAGACGCAAAAAGAAACGGAAGGACCGCCAGGAAACTTCATACTGCCGCCGAGAAGAAGCCCTGAGGTGGGACACCAACAAGGAGGCCACCTGATCACCATAGAGATGATGATAGACTCGAGTCAAAAAAACCATACGCGAAGACTCAAGGAGAAGATCGAACCAGCTACGTGACGTACCGGCCCGATCCGCTGAAAGAGGCGGAGCCGCGGGAAAACCCTCGGGTTCGGACACCGAGCAACCAGCGCCCACCGGAGCCAGAGCACACGACCATCGCCTATAGCATCAGCCTCAAGAACTGAGGTGTGGGTAGCCGGCGCGGGGGGTCTGGGGCTCCCCCTTCCCCCTCCCGGGGAGGGGGGAGCTGCGCAGACAGCGGCGCGGCAGTGTGTGACGTCACACTAATTTGCTTGTTTTCGGTTGGGGAGTTCTATCCACTAGTTCGGTATTAGGTAGCAATTTTAACCAGAATAGGGGTTTGTTTTGGGGCGCTTACCTTTCTGGGTGCCTGTTCCGGTCGATGGCAGACATAGAATGCTTCCAACTACACGGGGGCTTCTATAGGCCATTGCTCCCCTTGCCTCTCTGAGGGGGCCCGGTTCTGGCCGTGGTCCCCGGTAGGCCTAAGAACTCCATACACATGACTGATGCCAAAGTCTGACATTAGCATATCAGCCTGGGATAGCTCCGGGGAGCCGACGGGGCTCCCCCCAGAAAACAAAGAAAAAATCAATCAGACACATTGAAATAATTAGGTAATAATATCTTTGTGGCAACTCCCACCTGTCAGCTCAGGTGATGCTGACTGGCTCTGACGACCGCTCTGTCAACGCCCACATTTTGCCAGACTTCCTCAGCCTATTGCGCCCAAAATATGTCGCCTATGATTTATTTTTTATTTTTCCCGTGCTCAGGGAACACAAATTAACATTTTTAGAAGACAAAATTTTTTTAGATTTTTTTTCTTGCACACAGGGGTGTAAATGTCCTCAGGACCTCTTAGCAGCTTAAGGGTTAATGCAAAGCAACAGCAATTAGTGAGAAATTGCAAAGGCAAAATTGCTATTGCAAAGATTGCAATTGCATACTAAAACTTTCGTGCATTACTGTATTTTGTCTATTAAACCATTCAAAATTCAATACTGTATATATATTTTATTTAGCTCCATTTGAATGAAGTACTTGATATAATTTTCATTTTGGTATTATGTCGACAAGTCATGTGCTACCAGCAGTGTGGCCAAATTATGTATGTATCTTATTATATTTAATGTTATAATAAATGAATCAAAACTAACCTGTATTCTACAACAACCTTTTCATGTGGCAGGAGATTTACTAATGCACTGCACCGCCAAAAGGAGGCTGGTTTGAGTGTGGTTATCTTCACTACTTCTGATGCTAGCTGTTTGTAGTTTACTGAAAATAAGAAAAACCAGCATTGAATGAAATGAAATTTGTATTTCTGGTAGAGCCCTGGTGGTTCTCTGAAGCTATCTCACTGAGATGGCTTCACACTGTCTTGAGGGTTTAGTGAAAGACTAGTGCAAGGACAAGAATCAATTGGAAACAAATTGCAAAACCATGGAAGAGGAAAATAAATTCTTAAAATAGCTTTGGAAGAAGTTAAAGCAAATTTAAACATAAATGACTACAATAGGTTAGGTAAGGAAATTCAACAGGAGAAACAGCTTTTGTCAGCACAGATGGAGGAAGTTACACAGGGAATAGAACAGTGCAGGAATGATATGCAACTCACCTATGCACAAGTGCCCAAGGAGAAGGAAAAAATTAAAGAAGCAGTAAAGGATGCCAAACACTGCAGCAACCAAAATAAAACAAACATTAGGTTGGAAGTGAGAAAGGAATTGGCATCTAACATCCATCTAACCCGAAGTTGGTGCAAAACACAGTTGATCGGAGTAAGTCCCTGATAATTTTTGGTTGCAAAGAAAAGGAGATAACATCTAGGTCAGAAAGAGCTGAAGAAGAAGAAGCGAAAGTAGTAGATAAAATTGTTGGCCTTGTGGAAGATCTTACTTCCATAGAGAATGTGTGCGACTACAGGAGAATTGGCAGGTACGTAAAAGGGAAAGATCGACCTTTGAGGATCACTCTAAATGGTGCCAAACAGATGGAAGAAGTACTAAGGAATGCTAAAAAACTACAAAGTGATGAGGATGGGAAAGTGTGGTCGTTAAGACGAGATCTTTCAATAGAAAACATATAGAAGCTGAAACTAAACCTCGTAGAGGCAAAATGTCTAAATGAGAGCAGAAACGAAGAAGAAATAAAAAAAAAAATTCTACAAAGTGATTGGAGTAGGCAGGCCAGTAAAATGGTACAAAAAGACAAACCAACAAAATTGCTAGAGAGAGGGGTAGTGAATAATAAGGCGAGGGGAAACATGTTCCTGAAAATAGTATACACCAATGTAGATGGAGTGAGATCGAAGATACTGGAGTTAAGTGATGTAATACAGTTGCAGACACCAGACATTGTTGCACTCACGGAGACAAAACTTGATGTTATTTTAAATGAGGTCATATTCCCAAGGGGCTACTCAATTTGAAAACGGGACAGAAAAATTAGGAAAGGCGGTGGCGTTGCTGTGCTGGTGAAAGAACACCTAAAGGTGAACGAAATAATGATGCCAATCCACGAGACGTTGACGTAATAGCACTGGAGATCTGCCATGAGGATGATAAACTAACGATCATAAATGCATATAGTCCACCGCCAAGCAACACATGGACAAAGGAGGAGCTAGATAGTAAACGAGAGGGTCTTATAACAATAATGAGAGAGATTATAGCGAGACCGGAAAAAGAAAGATCACGACTGTTGATAGTCGGGGACTTCAACTTGAAATCCATAGACTGGGAAGCATATGAAGCTAGAACAGAGGATTTTTGGACCTGTAGATTGTAGACCTCATCCAGGAAACATTCTTGTATCAACATGTTAAACAAGCTACGAAGATGAGGGAAGGGGACGTTCCCACCATGCTAGATTTGATATTTACCAGGAAGGAGGAAGAGATATTTGACATTCAGTACCTTCCTCCCTTGGGTAAAAATGACTATGTCTTTTTGGGAATAAAGTATGCAATGAGTTATAATCCGGAAGAAAATAAGGAGGTTGAAGCAGTTGAAAAACCTGACTTCATGAGAGGACATTATGGCGACCTTAGAAATTTTTTTAACGGGTATAATTGGACAGACTTGTTGCTAGGCAAGAAAGTAAATGTGATGCATGTCAAGTTTTGTGAAATATATGATAAAGGCACAATAAAATTTATACCAAAACAGAGATGCAGAACTAGGAAACAGGATTGGTTCAACAGAAATTGCAAGAGGGCCAGAGACCAAGACACAAAAATGGAATCAATATAGGAGGAGGCCAAACCTCCAAACATACCAGCGATGCAAAGATGCGAGAAACAACTACACAGCAGTGAGGAGAGAGGCAGAAAGAAATTTTGAAAAAGAGATTGCAGACAAATGTAAAACAGAACCAGGTCTATTCTATAAATTTATAAACAACAAATTGCAGGCAAAGGATAATATTCAGAGGTTGAAAACAGGAAATTAGATTCATGGAAAATGAAAAGGAAATGTGTGAAACATTAAACAAAAAGTTCCAAAGTGTGTTTGTACAAAATGAAATCTTCAGGGAACCAGACACAATAAGAATGCCAGAGAACAACATAGAGCACATAGAGGTGTCTAGAGACGAAGTGGAAAGAATTCTCAAGGAACTAAGTAAGAACAAAGCAGTTGGTCCAGATGGAGTTTCACCATGGGTTCTGAGAGAACGTGCACCTGAGTTCAGCATTCCACTTCAACTGATTTTTCAGGCATCCCTGTTTACAGGAGTTGTAGTTGATGTGTTGAAAAAGGCTAGCATAGTTCCAATCTACAAAAGTGGCAGCAGGGAAGAACCCCCCCCCCCCTTAATATAGACCTGTATCATTGACAAGTGTCATAGTCAAAATATTGGAAAAAATAATTAAAACTAAATGGGTCGAACACCTGGAGAAAAATGATATAATATCAGACAGACAGTATGGTTTTCGATCTGGAAGATCCTGTGTAACAAACTTACTCAGTTTCTATGAGTGAGCCACAGAGATTTTACAGGAAAGAGATGGTTGGGTTGACTGCCTCTATCTAGACCTAAAAAAGGCTTTCGACAGATTTCCACATAAGAGGTTGTTCTGGAAACTGGAACATATTGGAGGGGGTGACAGGTAAGCTTCTAACATGGATGAAAAATTTCCTGACTGCAAGAAAAATGAGGGCCGTAATCAGAGGTAATGTATCGGATTGGAGGAATGCCACGAGTGGAGTACCATGTCCAAATGGAGTATGTCCAAAGGAGATTGTGCAGGTGGAGAAGATTAGGCATATTGTAGAGGTGGAGGTGGCACCACTCCAAGCCACCCCACACCCACATGCAGAGAAAAGAACTAGGCAAGTTCCCCATACATAAAACCCAGAACTTTCCCAGTATCTAGGTGGCTATGACTGGAGAGATAAGATGAGCGAGAAGTGTATCACCCGTGATAAAGATCGCAGAACACCACCAACACATGTGTACATCACCCATAAACAAAACTATCACCTCACGGCTCATGCGCAATACGCATGAAGTCTGAGCAGCATCACTCGTCTTTCAGGGAGGATGCCAACAAGGGTTATGTAACGATCATTAGTAATGTCTAGACAGAGTATGGAGAGAAATGGTGATTATGAAATAAACAGATATAGCATCGATAGACGATAAGCAGTATGGAAGAGGACCAACGAGTCCAAAAAAGGACTGGAGGTAAGCCTCACTGGAAGGTGACAGACGTTCCAATAATGTTGTAAGGATTGAAGATCTACACGAAACTTTGAGATCCTAGATCAGCAAGCACAAAATCATGGAGGCTCACATGGGCCCAGTGGCATCTGTGACCAATGGGTGTGCAAGATCCTAAAACGATTTGAACATGATTGAGACATGATGGAGAAGAATACATGTCCAAAATAAGAACAGTGAGAAAGTAGTCAAAATTAATGTCAGGAAGGATGGAACCGGCGGACCCGAAGGAACATGGAACCGAACCTGGGGAGGGGCTGACGCCTAAACTAACCCATACGCAGAGGGGGGAAAGGTAAACCCCACTCTTTGTAAGAGAAAAGCTTCACTCTGAGGGTTGGAAAACCCAGATGGGGTCCAACGGGGCCCAAGGCCCCCAAGTCAGCTCCCTCCACAACCCCAGGAATCTCCACATTAGGTCCCGGGGGCGAGTCATCCTCCAAAGACCCGGCCTCACAAGAAAAAACAAGGAAGAGAGAGGGGGGGGCCCACTGGTCAGACCCCGGTGCCACGGCTGGAGGAACCGACTCGAATGCCTCCGTCGCCACTCCGGAAGGGGCAGCCCCCGAAACTACCCTAGTCTCAGAACCTCGAAACCCTGCCCTGACCCCGAAGCCCTCAGATGCTTTGGAGCCGGAAGCAAAGGAATGGGGAGGGGGGCGAAACAGAATGAACCACAACAGGGGAAGAACAAGGGGGCACAGATTGAACCAAGGCCGAAGCAACCAATACCCTCAAGTCCGTGTCCCTATAAGCAGAGCAGGGCAGCGTCGGGGCATCGGGAGGAGCAAACAACCTAGCACGTTGCAACAACCTATACCAAGCATGCAACACTTGAGCCGCCTGCATCCTAATAGTGTCATCAGTGGATAGCATGAAATGAGGCACAAACAAACAACAATGCTCGCAGGACTCAGGATCGAGATGTCACTGACCCAATAGGCAGCATGATGGAGGCAAAAACAATGAGCGTCACCCTGAGACAAGGGGACAGAGCAACCCTCAAACTCACACAAGGTGAGAGGGGACCCAAGGGTCACATCCATTGGACCCGTGCGCCCCCGTGGGGTTTTCCAGGGGCCCCTAGACTGTTATCGCTAAGGGTAAGCTCAGGCAGGGCACTTCTAATCTCCGCCCAATACTACCAAACAAACTGCTAAAGCTGAACCCCTGAGACGTGTCCACTCCCTGGGGCCAAGCAGGGGGTACCGCCGAACAACAGAGGTCAAGACCCTAATATAACAGGGAGGCAAGGAACACCAAGGCAGCTCCCCCCCCCCCCCACCAGGCAAAAACAAAAAGAATAGAAAAATCCCACAAGACAGTGTACCCAGAAGGAACAGAGCTGGCTGCTGTTATAGGTGAAAACTAGCTGCGCAATACCCCACGCTCCTACCAGCACAAAAACTACCACTTACCCCAAAGTAAACAAGGGCAGAACCCCCCAAAACACTCGGGGCCATCTAGAGTCAAGCAACGAAAGACCAACAGAGGTAAACCCAAGGTGACTTGTGGAAGATAACCCCAAGCCCCAAGGGCGGTACTTACAGGGC